CGGACAAGATTTACATCCTGTGGCTAAAGCTATGATAAGTTTACAGTTGCATACACCAAATGCAAAATATACTGAAGAAGAAAAAAATTTATCGAGACAACTTTATTATTATTCAGCCTCAGCATTTTGTCGCTTAAAGAAAGCAGGTTGCAATTTACCGGGACAGCGAACAATACGAAGATAGTTAGAAAAATATGAAATGAGACCGGGATTCTGCAATTTTATATTTCAAAAACTAAAAGAAAAAATTGGTCAATTACCAATGGAAGAAAGAGTTTGCGCTCTGAAATGAGATGAAATGTATATTAAATCATATGAGGAATATTCACCTTACCTGGATGAAATAGAAGGTCTCGTTGATCTGGGGCCTCTAGGAAGAAAATCGGAAAAAGCTAAATTTGTATTTGTATTCTATCTAGATAGCATAAATGCACGGCATCAATGGCGTCAACCTATAGTATATTTTCTTCCAGGGAAATGTATGAAAGCGGAAGATATAATTACTTTGTTAAAAGGATGTCTACATAGGTTAAACGAAACTGGTGCTGATGTGCAACTTGTAACATGTGACCAAGGTACATGTAATCAAAGTGCTTATGTTCAACTCGGCATTAACTCAGAAAAGCCATTTTTCATATATAAAGAGAAAATATATTACGTTTCGTTTGATTTCCCGCATCTGATAAAAAGATTAGCAAGCACCCTTAGGATGCATCGAAACATTTATTGCGATGGAAAAATAATCGCATCATATTCCGATTTTGAAATGACATGGTCTATCGACAATTCTACCAAAGGAGGTTCTAATTTATTATCCCACATTACACAAACACACATTCGTCCAAATAGTTTCGAGGCTATGAATGTAAAAAGAGCATTCCAATTATTTAGCCATACTTTTGCTGCTGCAATAAAAACAGCTGGCTACGAGCAAGAATTAAATATATGTACGTGGCAAGCAATAGCAGATTTTGCAGAACGTATGAATAATATTATCGATGCTTGCAACTCTTATAGCTTGAATATTAAATTTGGTGGAAAGCGACCATCATCTTCTAAAAATCCTGATCTTGAAATTTTATTAACAAACCTTGTGAAATGGTGTTCAGGATGGTCTAAATCAGTAGAAACAAAAACTCAAGTACCTTGTTTCAAAGGCTTCGTTATAACTGTAAAAGCAGTTTCATACTTGCAGTTTATAAGGCACTCATAAATAAAAATGAAACATTTGAATTAGCAACAGGATTATGCAATCAAGACTCAGTGGAGCATTTATTCTCCAAACTGAGACAACGTGGAGGGTTTAATCCTAATCCGACTGCAAGAATGGTACGACTTTCTATCAGGTACATACTTTCCACAGGATATATTCAAACAAGTGACAAAGGCAATGTACAATGCCCAGAAACAGAAACTCTTATCAATCAACCGAGTGAAGTTACAAAGGCGATAGAAATTGTTATGAATACAAGTAGTGCCTGTCCAGAATATGATATATATGAGGACAATGATTTGCTTGAGGAAAATCAAATATCAAATATAAGAGAGAAATTATCAAATATAATCGAAGAATATGTTGATTACGAAGACATAAACAGTGACCAACGCAGTACTTATAATGACAATGCTATAGCTTACTTTGCAGGATTTGTGGCAAGACGAAGCATTGAAAAAAGTAATTGTGATCAGTGCCGCAATATTATGATGAAAACGCCAATGGATATATTAGCGTCCAATGAGAAGTACATTGAATTTCGAGAATATCAGAACGCAAACGAAGACGCTCCAATAGTTACAAAATTAATACGACTGACAAATTTTTTTATAAATATTATGAGATTACAATTATTGGTGTTTAATAAAACATGGCAGCATTATTGGGCATCCACACATATTCTTGATAAAATTGTTATGGAATGTGTACAAGAAACTAACAAAATACATACTACATGGTTTAATGTTGAGGACGAATGTTATAATCATCAAATGCAAGCTTTAAGATATATGATAACTGTAAAATTATACTCTCATATGAGATATAATAATCGTGCTGGCAAAAAGACTAGTGCATCTGTTAGAAAAGTTCTCAATTTTTCAAATGAATAAAATAATTGAACAAAAATAAATCATTGCAAATTATATGAGGAAAAATATAAAAGACGTAATAATGACATTGAGCACTATCCTATAGTCTACTTATGTTTAATTAATAAAAATTAATAAAAATTAATAAAAATTGCAACCAAGCAAAATAATAAAGAAAGAAAATAAGTGAAAATATGTATAGACACAGATTCATTTATAGGAGGTAATACGTACAAGTAAATGTACAAAAAGCCAGCAGAATGTATCAAAGTGAAGGAAGAAAAAAGGTAGAGACAGTAAAAAGTAATAAGAAGAAAAAGTAACGAGATAAGAAAAATTATGAGAAATTACGTAGAACACATAAATTTTTAATTTTATATTATTTACTTGAATCATGATATTGCATCCAAAATGCCAAAATATATAAACCCACATAGCACACGTTATCCCTGAGACGTCGAACAACAATATCCTGGGGATATATGAAAGTCCGCTGTTTTAGATCCAACAGATATCCTACGGATATCTCTTTTAGTAATAATTTGTAGAAAGTAAAAAGTAAGTACAAATTATTAAAAAGGATATTCGTAGGATATCTGTAGGATCTAAAATAGCGAACATTAGTATATCCCCAGGATATTACAATATCCCACAATGATATCCGTCGGACATCCCTGAGATAAAGTGTGCTGTGTGAGGAATATTAAGCGTTTGCAGACCACAAGTAACAAGTAACAAGTAACTTTGTGTACTATCTATTAGTCAATATTATTTTCGAATAATAAGTAACAAAAATAAATATAAATTTTCAATCTCATAGACGATCGCAATCACAGTTGAAACAATAACATAAATCAGACTAGCAGGCCTTATCACGGACAGAAAATATAAATAAGAGAACATATTAATAAGAAGAAATAGAAATAAGAGAAAAAATAAATAAATATAATAATAATGAAATATTAATTATGTTAAAGACGATCGTGTAAAGAAATTGTAAAATTATAGGCATTTTTGTTATTAGCAATATTGTGATACAAGTAATATTAGTGAATTTGAAGGAAGTATTTTATCACAATAAATGTGAATCATTGGCATACGGTATTTTATATATACAGGGCAAGTAAAACTTGCTGAAAATCGTAATATATATGTATATGATATACAAATAATTTGAATTAATTATTTACAAGAAAACAATTACTAAGAAATGTATTAAAAGAAGATGTCCTGAAATATATATATTGAAAAAGAGACATGAAAGACAATTAATAAATGCTATTATTTCTAGGAAAACTACATCATGTAGATTTCCTCGTGATACGACCTGATAGTCTCAGATTTATGCAATTGTTTCAACTGTGATTGCGATCTGTATGTTATATTCATTAATGCCAATAAAAATTATATTGCGTTATGCTCGTTCATATTAATAACAATCATATGCATTTTCAGTAAAAAAGTTTTATTTATGAATATGTTCTACGTAAAAATAACATTAATTAACATATTTATAATAAAATAGTATTTATTGAAAGAATGATAAGTATATACAACATTGTATGATATACAGATCTGTATAGAAAGCCTTAAAAAAATATATGTATCAGTTGATAAGAAATTGTTAATCAATTATAGCGTGTTTCGTTTTTGTTTCATACACGTTAAATAATGATAGTGGAATAGGCCTATTGGAGAAACCACTATAAAAAAAAAACACACCATGCTATCTACCGCAAAGTGGTGGGAAAATGATAGCGTTTCAACATTTTCTCGCTATAGTAAGAACGGATGAACAACAAAATTTCGGCGCACGATCCTATTATTAGCTGCTTGCTGCTGGCTTTGTTACTCTGCCTCTTGCTATCAACTGATTATAATTACATCCCTCTCTCCCTTCTCCGATTCCACAGCGAATTTGAAATCTCTAAATCGTTCCTTTCCCGCATTACGCGGAACGTGTCATGTCAAAGGCGAGCGGGATAGAGGAGGGGTGATTATTGCGTGGCGAAAATATCGTCGCTGGCTCGTCTCGTGCCTATCGTCGCGCGGTCTGCTTACTGGTAGTGAGAAAGAGACGGAGTAATTTCATTAATAATTGCTTCTCCGTTCTTGTCTCACTCATCAGATATTTATCTCGTCTCAGCCTATCTAATAGTCGGGACACGCACCTGGTAATTCGAACTCAAACCGTGCGACTGAAAGTGGACGTAACACGGACTCACACCAAGTGGAGACTTTACCGGCGCGCCAGAAAATGAATGCAGCAAATAGTTCCCGGCTAAAAATGGATGCAGAGGGCGATATCAAACAGTCGCGAAAAGCGCCTCAAGCTTCGCGCCTGAAAACGCGGCCGTGGCCGCTCTTAGGTTTCTCTCTAGTAATATTGCACCTTGTATCCTGTGTTTTGATTGAAGGACCTAACGGAAATACTCGATAACGGAAATAGTCGATTCGAGAATAAGCACAATCTTTAGTCTGTCTTCACCAAGTCAATCTCAAATCAAATGAGTCTTAAGCCAGCGGCACACTAAGGCTCGTCTACATTAGCTGTAAGAGTAAGGCTGTAAGGTTGCAAGGCACGAAATGAAATATTTTCATTCGCTGACAGCTTACGTTACAGCCTTGCTGGATGAAAATACTGCGTTCTGATTGGGACATTTCCATTCATCTTCGGAAATGTACCAATCAGAACGCTGATTTTCATCCAGCAAGCAATCCAGCACGAAAACAAGCATTGAGTGCCGCTGGCTTTACTTGAGCAACATATTCTTCGCGAAGATCGTCTTATTTCACGACTATGAAACGTACTGATCTTGAGACGGTCTTGATTGAATAAGACCGACTTAACTAAGATTGTCTTAAGTACTGATTTGAGACTCGACTATGAATATCACCCTTGGAATACGGCTCTATGAATGCGACGATAGAGTCATCTTCCGCAACGCGAATAAAGCAGGAGAAAGGAAACATGGCAGCCCACAAGAGAACGAAGAAAGATGTTCCGCGACAGTTTCAAATATTACAAGAGTCGAAATCCTGCACCTGATCTTAGCAAAGTAATCGATTTCGATGATCCGGATCACGTCAGAGTATGTGACATTAGTTGATATATTTTCCAAGTTCATAAATTCTTTTAGATTAGATAATGTTTTTAGGTTAGATATGTCAAATGTTTTAGGTTAAATATGTCAAACCACAAGTGATAACTGATGTACAGTTCGGGAATAATTTTGGGCTGAAACCAACGGAAAAGTGGAAAATCTATGAATTGCTGGATATTCCCGGTATATACGATATTTCTGCGCAATTATATCGATATTTTATGGAAATATCAATATATTGTCAATGTTTAATCCTTATTTGTTCTTTGTTTCTCTTCCGAAGGACTTATTTTTATCCGGGACCCGTTTACATCGAACGGTCAACGATATTGGATCATGAAATGCTTGAAGGACTACTCCAAGGAACCATATAAGCTGAATATAGATGCCCATAATATTTTAAACAACGAAATATGGTGGGACGTATGTTTTCAGTAAGGAGCACTATTAACTTATATTGCTTCACATGACATTACCTATTATTATTATTCTTATATAAAAAATATCTTGTATTTGAAAAATCACATACTTCATACAGAAAAAGATCTATTTAATAAAAGAAAATGTTTATATATATATATGAATTTCAGATGTTTATGTCAACTTAATGAATTCTATATTTTGTAAACTCCTTATTAACAAAAAGCCAAATACCAATATGCTCTAATACTAAAATTAAAAAATATATAAAAGCTGAAATTAATGGCAAATAGCATTTATTCACAACAATCAACTTGTATGATTGTTACTGGCCATTAATATATCTTGTGATTAAATATCTAAAAGTGTCTCATATTTATCATTAATATTGATCTGTTTCCAAACATTGTTAAATTTCCAAGAGATTTATATAAGTTATGAAAATTGTAATTGATATTTTGCACACACAGGTCTTCTGAAAGAGCCAAAACTCTTCTACCAAAACTAAGATGGGCGACGCTGGGCTACCATCACAATTGGAACACTAAACTGTACTCTGAAAGCTCTAAGAGTGACATGCCGGTAGAACTATTAGGTTTAACATCCACTCTAGCGAAAGCATTAGATTTCAGAGACTTTAAGGCGGAAGCGGCGATTGTGAACTATTATCGAATGAACTCGACTCTCGCGGGTCACACGGATCAATCGGAGGTAAACATTGCAGCACCGTTGTTCTCTATGAGTTTCGGCCAAACGGCGATCTTTCTCATCGGTGGATCCAGACAGGAGGATCCTGCTGACGCAATGTTTCTACGGAGCGGTGATGTCGTAATAATGTCTGGCAGTTCTCGTTTGCGGTATCACGGTATCCCAAAAATTTTAGCGGCATCCGAGCCAGTTCCGTGGGATGTAAGTCACAATGACAGCTCGAATAGTCTCACGTACAATCAGGATGATTGGCACAAAGCGCGTGCTTACATTGCCGAGACTAGGATCAACATAAACGCACGACAGGTTTTGGAACCTGGACAAATTGTATTATACTGACATCATCGCGTTGAATTTTATATTGAGTTGTATGATAAGTAATTTCGGACTTTTCAGCTAAACCAAAGTGATTATATTTTTATAATTTGATACAATTATTTATATATTATAATTAATTGTAATTATTTATTTTGATATTATAAAACAATGTGTATGTCACTGATCAGTCACTGATTTCCTATCTTTTGTATATATTGCTTCACAAAATTATAGACATAAAATAATAATTTTAGTTTACTTGAGAAATCCAAAGTTACTTAAAGTAAAAGTAATGATGAGTGCTATATATATATATGTATATATATATATATATATATATATGTATGTATGTATGTATGTACACATATATATATATACGTATACATGTATATATATGTATGTATACAGGGTGAGCAAAAAGTCCCGGACCGGTGAAATATCTCGAAAATCAAGCATTTTAGAAAAAAATGTTTCAAACAAAAGTGTGGTTTTAAGGGGGACATAAAACAACTATATCATTTTGTTTACAAATGGCACCACTTTCGAAATATTCACTGATCATTATTTTTCTTAAATGGAATCCCTAATTTTTTATTATATAATCTTTTCTACCATTAATTTAAATAACTTTTGTCTGAAACATTTTTTTATTTGCCTAATATTTTTTTTTAATATTTAAAGAATACTTGATAATTTTTTCAATAGTTAACTTACGATATCTCGCTAAATATTTTTCAGAAGAGAAAATGGTATTAGACTTTTTTACTCTATTTACTCTCAAGAATATATTGTTACAATAGCGCCCTGACATTTGTTAATTTGATAATTTTGAAATTTCCAAAAGTCGATTAAGTAATAAATAAATAAAATAACAAAAGTTAAGGCACTACTGCATATTAACTGCATATTAACTACATTATAAGTAATAACTACATATTAACAATATATTCTTAAGACCAAATAGAGTAAAAAAGTTTAGTATTATTTTTCCTTCCAGCAAATAGCAAAATATCGTAAGTTAAATATTGAAAAAGTTAGTTTTCCTTAAATATCTAAAAAAATATTAGGCAAATAAAAAAATGTTTCAGACAAAAGTTGTTCAAATTAATTGATAGAAAAAGATGATATAATAAAAAATTGGAGATTCCATTTAAGAAAAGTAATGATCAATGAGTATCTCGAAAGTGGCGCTATCTGTAAACAAAATGATATAGTCGTTTTATGTCCCCCTTAAAACTACATAACTTTTGTCCGAAACATTTTTTTCTAAAATGCTTGGTTTTCGAGATATTTCATCGATCCGGGACTTTTTGCTTAGCCTGTATACATATATACACACATACACAAAATATGTATATATATATATGTATGTATACAGGGTGTCCCATTTTAACTTTCGCATTAAAAAATCTCGAAATCTTTGAGGTCGACGAAAAAATGTTTCAGACAAAAATTTTAGGGCTGGATGGGGGATCAGTGACCTTGACCTTGATCTTGAGGTCAAATTTCAAGGTAATTTGAAGGTCAAAGTTATTTTTTTTAATGGAAACCTCAATTTTTTATTACACCGTCTTTTTCTACCAATTAATATAAACAACTTTTGTCTGAAGCATTTTCTTATTTGCCTAATATTTTTTTAGATGTTTAAAGAAAACTTTATGTCTTTTCCAATATTTAACTCACGATATCTCACTATTTGTCGGAAGAAAAAGTGGTACTAGATTTTTCTGCTCTATTTAATTTCAAGAATATATTGTTATAAAAGCGCCCTGACTTTTGTTAATTTGATGATTTTGAAATTTCTAAAAGTCAATAAGTTTTTCTTCCGACAAATAGTTAGCGAGATATCGTGAGTTAAATATTGAAAAAGATATCAAGTTTTCTTTAAACATCTCAAAAAATATTAGGCAAATAAAAAAATGTTTCGGACAAAAGTTATTTATATTAATTAGTAGAAAATGGCGGTGTAATAAAAAAATTGGAGTTTCCATAAAAAAAAAACTCTGACCTTCAAATTACTTTGAAATTTGACCTCAAGGTCAAGGTCGAGGTCACTGATGTATATCCCCCATCCAGCCCTAAAACTTTTGTCTGAAACATTTTTTCGTCGACCTCGAAGATTTCGAGATTTTTTAATGCGAAAGTTAAAATGGGACACCCTGTATATTACATTGTGCATATACAGATATACACATTGGTGTCCCAAAAGTAACGGATCACCATCATAACTCTTCAGTATTGATATTTCAAGGAAAACGATCTGAATAAAAGTTGTAGGGATTTAAGTGAGCTACCTTATGATGACCTTGACTTTGACCTTGACCTCTATTTTCAAGGTCATTTGAAGGTCAACTTGCATTTTTTAAATAGGAACCCTTATTTTTTATTACACTGTTTTTTTCTACTAGTTAATTTGAACAACTTTTATCTAAAATATTTTTTTATTTGTCTAATATTTTTTGAGATATTTGAGAAAACTTGATAACTTTTTCAATATTTAACTTACGATATCTCGCTATTTGTCGGAAAAAAAAGTGATACTAGACTTTCTTGCTTTATTTAGTTTCAAGAATATATTGTTTCAATAACGTCTTGACTTTTGTTAACTTACTGATATTTGGAAATTCCAGAATCATCAAATTAACAAAAATCAGGACGGTACTGTAACAATATATTCTTGAGACTAAATAAAGCAAGAAAATCTAATATTACTTTTTCTTCCGACAAATAATTAGCGAGATATCGTAAGTTAAATATTGAAAAAGTTATCAAGTTTTCTCAAATATCTCAAAAAATATTAGACAAATAAAAAAATATTTTAGATAAAAGTTGTTCAAATTAACTAGTAGAAAAAAACAGTGTAATAAAAAATAAGGATTCCCATTAGAAAAATGCAAGTTGACCTTCAAATGACCTTGAAAATAGAGGTCAAGGTCAAAGTCAAAGTCATTATAAAGTAGCTCACTTAAATCCCTACAACTTTTATTCAGATCATTTTTCTTGAAACTTCAATACTGAAGAGTTATTAGAGTGGTCCGTTACTTTTGGGACACCCTGTTCATATTCAGTATATGTGTATATCGCATGTTAATAGTTTAAATATTTGAATGTAAAGGTTAAAACAGAAATGTCCAGAATTAGATACATATATTGATATAGTATTGGTACTTTTACCTTGTTGCAAAACTCAATATAAGTCTAAAGTCGACAATTGATTGTGATTCTGCTTTATGCGAATTTCAAATTCAAGAAGTTAAACACTCATCATTATGTGTGCTCTGGTACAAAAATTAAAGAATTTGTAGAAAATCCGACATGATAAAAACGAGTTTCTTGCTTACCGCGAGAAGTACTACGTATACTTATGAAAGTTACTTCTTTTCGACCTCAGTCCCTGTAGTTATCTTCATTCTAACGAGTATCTCGTTAGCTTTTCTGACGATGTCCGACCACCAAAAATCTCGTTTTTCACTCAGACGAAGAGCATATACATCGACCATTTTCGTCGATTTACCGTTTATATGCGAAAAGAAATTCTTGTCGTTTGTATCCTCGGAAGATTTCAAATCTGACGAAATAGCAGAATTATCGTGCGATTCTGTGAACATTTTTTGTGTCATTGAAATATCGAATTTAGAAATATGCGCGGAAAATACGCGAGAAATCACGAATTACATGATATTTCGATGGCCGATATGTTTCACTCCAGTGATATTCATTTTTATTTCATAAACACAAACCGATATATAACCTCTGAATACGTGATATAATTATTTCACTAGTATTTTTCTAACCGTATATATTTGTTTATAAATATTACCAAAAAATGATCACAGTGACAGATACAGTTGCTGCTTTAAGACAGCAAGTCTCGCTTTTTTGAATAATCAATAATCAATAAGTCAATAACATATGCGATTAAAATACTTTAAAAATAACAAATTACATAATATATGAAGGTAACTCTTTGAATTTTGATTAAGCTAATTAATCATTACCTTGCAGCCAATAAAATTATTACAGTAATAGAATACTTCTTTAACATCATTTTCACTTCTTGAGTAACCAATAAATAATAAATTATTAATAAGGATTGAGAAACTCTAAAAATTTAATTATATGATATATATTAAAAGTGATTTTCTCCAAATTGTATTTAAGATAATTGACTATTACATAAGTCGGTAAATTTGCTAATATAAAAATCTTTTTTTTTTTAAATAAGTAAATAACTTCTTTATTCTTATGACTTGTATTTGAAGATACTATCAATCTAATATTATCTATTTGGTACTATTCTGTTACACACGCAGAATAATTAATTCTTTGGTCAATATCAGACGACAAATTACATAATTAAGAACTGTTGGCGATTCTGCTAGTTAATCATTAATTAGATTAACCCTTTAATACATTTTTCCACTGAATGGATATTTGTGAAATTTTGTATTTCTATATTTTTTGGGTTGCTGATTACAAATCTAAAATTAAATTTCAAAAATTAAAAATAAATCCAATATGGCTGCCATATATAGGGGTAAATTAATATAACTCTGAATAAATTAGATCTGAGTAAATTAGATATAGGATGAAACTTATTATATATGAAATATGTTTTTGAAGTTCACAGAATATTAATAAATTAATAATTTTTATTTTTATAATAAATAAGTAATTTGTTAATAAAAAAAATCTAATGTACGAAAATGCTGGAAAAAATATACATTATATTTTGACATGTAAAGAATATTCAGTAAAATTTTTAACCTCTAATCTTAAATACTTTCCAAGAAATTAAATTTTTTTAAATCGCTATTTTTATAACTTTATTTGTTTATAAACAATTAAAAATGAATAATCGGATATGTATGGAAAATATATAAAGTAAGTATTAATATATACCAGAAATTAATATATATACCAGAAAAATGTGAGAGCATACTTATTTTCGTTAAACTATTAGCAGTACTTATTTTCTTATATAGTTATTTTCATTAACCCTTTCGCTGCTAAAGGCGTATATATACGCCCTCACAAGTCGGTCCATATACACGAAAGGCGTATCTATACGCTCTCACAAATCTATAGGCAAGAGCACAGGCTTTTGCATAACACAACGCATAAGAGAATAAATTTAATTATTTTTCTTCTTTCTTTAATTATTTTCTCAATTAGTTTTCTTCATTTCCCTCCTCAGGACAGAAATGAAGAATTCTGATTGGTTGATTCTCTTATGCGTTATGCAGAAGTCTGTGCTCTGGCCCTATCAATATATACGAAAGCCGTAAATATATGCCATCTACGTTTTTCTTGCTGTAACACTTTAACTGGCTAAAGCCTGGTCTACAATGGCAGTAAGCAGTAAGGCCTAGTTCCACAACTTGCTTTAAACGGAGTTTAAAGCTAAACCAATGGTTAAAAGCAATAATATATGCGCATTTACTATTGCTTTTAATCATTGGTTTAGCTTTAAACTCCATTTAAAGCAAGTTGGTGCAAGTATGGAACTGGGCCTAAGAAGTAAGCGTAAACGGTAAGAAATAAATCAATCACAGTCGCTTATGATAAAAATAATCAACTGTGGTTGGTCCATTTCTTACTGTTCACGCTTTCTTCTTACTGCTTACGGCCATTGTAGACCACGCTTTAGAATATAACACTCACAAATTAATTATTAAATTGTTTCTACTATCTTTATTTGTTTATATTATATTTGTTCTCATTAATTATTAAATTGTTTCTACTATCTTTATTTGTTCATATTATTTTTGTTCTCACTAATTATTAAATTGTTTCTACTATCTTTATTTGTTTATATTATCTTTGTTCTCATTGTGTTAAAATTGTCAAAATAAATTTGTTCCTCATTATCAATTTTGCATTTTTTTCACGAATTATTATTGAAGGAATGTACAAATTAAGTAAATTAAAAATAGCTTAGAAGACCACTTAAAATAGATCAAATACTGGATATTTTTAATTTATTTGCAATTATTTATTTTTTCAACTCCTAAGAATAGTATCAAATTTCCAGATACTGTTTTGGTCAGTACTCAGTGAACAACCAGTCGCAGAGACTAATATGTGAATATCGCGCCGTCTGTATTGATGGTTCGCTCCGAAAGTGCGCCACAGTGAAAAGGTAAAACTACAAGTCGTAATAATGAAAGAGGAAAAGGTGGTAAGTATATTTATCACTACACAGGATTAATTAGAAACAAAGGATTAAATAGAATTTTGAGAAAGGTAGACTAAAGGCTGCTATGCCGTTTATGTTAGTCTTATTCGCGCGCCATTAAAATCACGCGCCGTTCGGCACGCGATAGCGAAACTTCCGGTCGCCCGAGTCAGCTGATCAATCCCATTCCTGTCTGATCCGTACAGTGGTCGCGCGAGAATGTCGGGCAAGGATAAACTGCAAATTTTCCCCTCTCGGGGGTAAGTAAGCTTATTTCACTGAATTCGACGTGACCATCGTACAACGTGCTTGTTCACGTTATGCGCGCTGTCTGTCATTTATCCTCAAACAGTTTCGTTCGACAGCTGCGTATCGTAACGCAATGGGTGTAACCCATGTGTTTTCACCTGTTAACAGAAATACTTTAGATACTTTATTTAAGAACAACACTATATATTCCGACCTTTCACTAGGATCTTTCATTCTACTGGATATTTCCCACCTGCTTGCATCTCGCAAAGTGTTTCACTTAGAATGAAGATTAGCACATAGTGTAGGAAGATGAACTATTTGATCGTTTTCTGGATTTATTTGTTAGTCTTTTGATTAATTTTATACACTTGTTTATCAGGGCACAGATGTTGATGAAATCTCGTTTACACGGAGCACAAAAAGGTCATGGTCTCTTGAAAAAGAAAGCCGATGCCTTACAAATGCGTTTCAGGATGATTTTGGGGAAGATCATTGAGGTATGATTATCATTTTATATAACATGGAATTTTTTTTTCAATATTTTTATTGTTATTTATAATACAAGAATGTGTCTTTCTCAGGAAACTATCATTGACATTTTAGAAAAACAAGTTTGACAGTGATTAAGTTTTTCTCAGAATGAGTTTCTGAAATATCAAAATCTCTAATACAGATAATTAAACATATATCATTATTTCTTAATTCATGTCACTTCCAGACTAAAACTTTGATGGGTGAGGTAATGAAGGAAGCTGCCTTTTCTTTGGCTGAGGCAAAGTTTGCAACCGGAGATTTTAATCAAGTGGTGCTGCAGAATGTAACAAAGGCACAGATCAAGATACGCTCCAAAAAGGATAATGTTGCTGGTGTGAATCTTCCAGTTTTTGAATCTTATCAGGATGGTACAGATACTTATGAGCTAGCTGGCTTAGCCAGAGGTGGTCAGCAATTGGCGAAGCTAAAGAAGAACTACCAACGGGCTGTAAAACTTCTGGTAGAATTGGCGTCGTTACAAACGAGCTTCGTCACTCTCGACGAGGTGATCAAGATCACGAATCGCCGTGTCAACGCGATCGAACACGTCATTATTCCGCGAATCGAAAGAACTCTCGCATACATCATCTCTGAACTCGACGAGCTGGAACGAGAGGAATTTTATCGGTTGAAAAAGATTCAAGATAAGAAGAAGATAGCCAAAGCAAAGGTATGATCGTTATGGGTCTTTCTAAACTAAGTTGGTCAATTCTTTGTCTTTTTCTTACATTTATGTAATAATTTCATCAATTACATATATATATATTATTTATTATAATTTAATAATAATTATATTACATATATGTGTATTATAACTTAATTTTTCGTAAATTTTTTAATTTAATTAAAAATAGTGTGCTTATAATGTTTAATCTTTTTAATACTAAAGAATTTATAAAAAAAAATTGACTAATTTGGCTTCTGAGAAGACTAGGGCTGCGTTCCGATATTCACTGCCAGTACTGAAAATACATAATTTGTGTCACATATACTATAGATTTTCAGTGCTGACAGTGAATATTGGAACACAGTCTATATAATCATTGCATTTGCAAACAATTATTGCATGACTAACAAACCATGATATTAAATATGATGCCATTTATCAGACATATGATAATTCATCGAATATGATATTTGAAATTTATTTTATTCTATTATTTTTTATATATTTAAATTTATTTAATAAATAAATAAAATAATTAAATTTATTTAATAAATAAATAAAATAAATATTGGAAATGAAAAACATTTGTATATTAAATTTTATACCTTTTATATCACTTATAGGTCGAAGCGGAAAGAGCAGAATTGATCGCAGCTGGGCACAACTTGGAGGCCGCGAACATGCTCGACGAGGGTGACGAGGACCTGTTGTTTTAAATATTATAAATAATGCCTTTTAATTAAGATGGTGTTAATAGTTAAAAGAACAAAACGGTTCGTTCCCTTCCCGTTTCGAGCGTACGCGTAAGCTCGACTTTCCATGATGATGTCGAATCACAGTGCAATAACAGTTCCAATGGTTTGTGTATTTAGATGTAATAATAGGTAGATTTTCCGCATATTGTTTCCTCTTTATGCAGCAACCAATTCATACGATACCGACGCACGTATGTATACAGCTGGATATGCATAATGCATATACATAGAAAAATTAAACAATTGCATGTATAAAATCTAAAGGACACTGCATTGTTGTATCCTTTATATCGGACTTTATGTGTGATTGATTGACTTTTCTATGCGTACGCTTCGTATGGGCTTGCTACGCAAGTCCGTCTAGATGACTTTTAATCCTATATTGCAGTGCGTCATAACGTTACCGTTATTATTCTTGTTTAACATTAAAACGATTGAATTGTATAGAATTTTTATCGTAAGACAATTCGAAGGGATAGATAGTTATATTCATCGCGAATCATTCCGCGGTTTGTATGATGTGAGGAATTACATGAGATATCTATAATAATGAGTTACAAGTAAATAAATATATGTATATATATATTTACTTCTATTTGTCTTCTCAATGACCTTCGTGTCGCTATTCCCAGTCAGAACCACAATGTTGATTCGACGTCGATGAGGGTTGAATTAACGTTGATTCAACGGTTTATCGACCATTTCAGCGTCAAATCAACGTCCAATCAACGTTACGGTTCTGACTGGGATTTTGGCTTTATTCTTGTCGGATATTTAAAGAAAAAGTAGACACTTTTAAAAAAAATTCTTCGACCGAAAGATGTTTATAATACAAAGAGAACTCGCATAGAATTAATGTTTATTTCAAGTTCTCTAAAACCTATATCCAATTAGATATTGCAGATTGAGGAGATTGAAATTTGACTAGTTAGGATAAAATGGGGCGAAATTTAATCCATCAAATTCTAATCTCTAACTTGCAATTCTCTATCTTCAATTCTAATCTGAATTGGGCTTGAGAGTTATTTGTAAAAATCGATATACGCCAAGAAGAAAAGTCATATGAGTCTTTCATATAGATCCGAATTCATTCAATAACAAGCGCTAATAATTAATAACTGTATGGAAGAAAGAATTTGATTAAATCAACGTGACAACGAACGAACTAAACACATTTCGGTTGAAAGAAATAGAATTTTTAGTTTTGCTTCATTTGCTGCTACGTTAATTCAACCAAATTTTTTTTCCGTGTGGCTTAAAAATTACTCGAAATTTTCAAATTATCTGAAGTTTATCTAAAGTAGATCAGACATCTCTTCACAAGATTGATTCCTTTCGTCTCTCTTCTGGTTTTTCATTGATTCTCCCTTCAAATTTTGACAACATTAATTCGCCGACTGATAGCTGCGCGGCCATCGCCGATGGCTATGTACGACTGACCTAGTGGTGCGATTTGCCAAAGTGGGTCGATCAATATGCGGGGCTTTTCTCATCATACAAGGAGGCGGCGGTGGTTGCGACCCCCATTCACCACTCTAAAGGGTGTGTGATGCGCGTGTGGAAATCGCTCCTCTCAGGTTGCGCGAAAAATTCGCGCCGTGTCGACCACCCCAACCGTCAAAGATGTCGTCTGATTGCTTGACGGTTGTGGATGTGACGGAGGAGCACTTCGACGATGCGATTCATCATCTCAAATGGAACTTCTTCGCCGACGAGCCGCTCAACAATGCTGTCGGTCTCTGCAGCAAGGGCGAATCACAGTACGAACTCGAGAGACATTGTCTGCTTACCTTGAAGCAAGGCTACTCAAGGATGCTGCTGGACAAAAAAGGAGCGGTATGTACATATAAATGTTTAACTTGCGAGATGTTCTTAAAGTTACTGATATAATTTGTAATTGTGAACATACATTGTTTCGAAATTTGACAAATGAGATTTTCGAAGAGTCATGATCTCAAAAGATTCGAATTCTGAATCGTTCTCTAAAAGTATAAATATCCTGAAATATCGAATGCGTGCAATTACTTTGAAAAGTTGTTTAAAAAATAAAAATTTTGTACTTTGGTAATAAATTATAGTCGTACAAATTGCATAATAAATTACAATTCTTGTAATAAATTACAACTTTTGTGAGAAATTACAACTGAAATTAGTATAACAAAAGTGTATAAAAAATACAGTTTCCTATAAAGTAATAATAATAACAATTGTTTGGTACCTGGCTTTGTTCTGGTTTTGATCTTATAACTTTTTCGAATAATTATTGTAATATTTTAGAAGATTGTTTAAATATATGAATTTAGGAATTATAACTTTCCGAGAAATAATACTTTTTAGATTTAAGTAACATTTTCTCTTCGAGATAATATATTTACCATTGTTCTCTCCGAAATGATAAAATAAGCAAAATGCCTTTTTTATTTACTGTATATAGGTATTTGGAAAAGCTCCTGTTGTATTTCTTTTTTAATTTTTGAATCTGTCAATGTCTCGATATTTTGTCTTTTTCATATCGCGAATATTTTGTTTCGGGTGTGGTGCTGAACGACGCAGTGGCAATTCGGTGGACACGTATTGTCTCGAGAAAAAATGTCGGGATTTAAAAAGTTGAACAATTTTTTTTTCGAGGCTAATGAATTACTTACAATATCAGAATCTTTAGACTTGCAAGATATTCCGTCAACTTCTGCAAAAGTGACGGTAAATATAAAAAGATGTATTATATCTGAGAAGAAATGATTTATATGATTTGTATTGTATGATTTGTAAGAAAAGTGGCAATCTCGTACGCGTTTCATACTATTATGTTTTCTTTTTTCACAAAATCTACATTAAGAATGGATCGACCAACAAGAAGTTCAAAAACACTTTTTACATACTTACCACATCCTTTACAATGATAAATGACTGAGATCGACAGTTATTTAATCAGAGTTATAAATATCAGAAAAAGAATATGCTACGATTAATAAAATGATTTGTATCTTGTTGCTATTGCTCTATCAATTCTGAAGTGTTAATTCCATTTAACTTTTATAACAATTACATCTTGAGATATCATGTCCATAGCGTATGAATTGATGATGCAGAAATGCTTTTTTTGTATATTATTAGGTGTAAAATTAATTTTCGGTTTTTTTTTTACCAACTTTGACATTATTGACATTTATTTATAAAAACATAAATACAAACTCAATCTTCAAAGTAATCTCCTTCGTTTTCTATACATTTTTGCCATCTCTCAGGCAATTGTCGGATTCCAGATCGGAAAAATGATGGTGGTTTTAATTCAGTGAATTCATCGAGGCTTTTTTCGACCTGTTCAACTGACTCGAATTGAGAATCAGTTAGATCAGAGCTCGGAAAAAATGCACGCGACGGCCGATTTTCGACTATCTCCGCCCACCGCTGTTCCCTTTACCTTGCCACTCCGCATGCTGCCTACAAGCCGCTCGAGCCTCAGGAGCGTGTTTCCAACAGTTTTCCACGTCACCCATGAGGTACTATTGTTGACGCGTTTTTTTTTAAGTGGTATCCCCAGTAGGCCTAATCCACTGATGACTATAACAATCCGTAACTAATTGAACAGAAGCGAAATAAAATATGTTAAATGAAGAATATTTAATTCGATTTTCGGCGTCTTTTATTAGTAAGAGCGGAAACGTCAATTTGCATATTGCATGTAGCGAGCCGCATAAGACGTGGTAAGGAATCGTCGTTTAAAGAAGAACGTTTCTCATTTTTTAATTTTTAAACTTCATTTTTGAAAATGAAGTTTCACACAGATACGTGGATCCAAACATAGAATGAATGCGAAGTCCGAAATCCCGAAGCTTGGGGTATAATGACTTTTCCAATATTTTGTAAAGATCGACAGCGGTTTCTTTAACCGTTTTGAACGAAATATCGTTTTGCAAATCGCATAATTCCTCCTGCAATTCGAGAGGCTGTTCGTCGATTGCCGCTGTAAGGGGATTCGCGAAAAGAATTTCCTTTCGAAGGTTTTCGAAGCAAGTAAAACGCGTATCGAATTCGTCTATGACAGATTGTATAAAATGATTATACTCCTTAAAATTACAGCTATTGCCGTATTCTTCGAGAAGAACTTGGCAAGAAGGAAAGAATTGAAAAATATCATTATTTAAATGAGATTTTAATAACTGTAATTTTGTTCGGAAGGAATCAATGTGACTCACTAATTGACAAATATTTTGACCCGTTCTTTGCAGCTTTAAATTGAGAAGCCTAAGTTGATTCGTGATGTCGGTAATGAAGGCAAGTTCGGCAAGAAATGTGACATCTTGTAAAAGGGATATATACTCCTGAAATTTCGGGTTGTTTATTTCTTGCAAGAAAAGGAGGATCTCTTTTCTTATGGAAAAGAATATTTCTAAACATTTAGCAGCACTAAGCCAACGAACCGGGCAATGAAGTGGAACATCTTTGTGAACAGCACCATGTTCATGAAGAAATAATTGAAATTTGCGATGAGTAAGGAACTTATTTTCACCTTTAATAACGTTAATTATTTTTGTCACAGTCTCCATAGTTGTGGATAATTTTATACTACTTTACCACACAATGCCTCCTGATGAATGATGCAATGTATAACGGGGATATTGATATTTCGCTGCTTTAATTGCCCGGAATTGAATCCTATCTTTATACCCGTCATCGCTTTCGCGCCATCAGTCGTAGTCGAAGAACATTTACTGAAATCGACGTCAAAATTTTTAAGCGATTTTTCAACTGCTAAAAAGATATCAAGACCCGTTGTTGTGTCATGTAATGAGACGAAATCTAGAAGCTCCTCGGTACATGAAAAATCGTCTTGCACGATTCGAGTAAAAATACTCAATTGGCTCATATGTCGAATATCGGTGCTCTCATCGATACATAAAGAAAAATATCTACATGACTTCAGAAGATCCTTTAATATGTCCTTTATAGAATCACTGATATCGATAATTCGTGACGTTATAGTTTTTGCACTAAAAGAAATGCTCGCTGCTTCGTCAAGAGTCATGGAATTGCCGAAAGCCTTTACCGCTTCGATAATACAGCTTTTTACGAAAGAACCTTCGATAAATGGTTTTGAATGTTGTGCTATAAGCAAAGAAATAGCGTAAGAGGCTTGTAGGGATTTTTGCGAAGATGAAGAACAAATAGAAGGTATTAAACCTTCCTGTTGAACTAATTTCAATCCGTCGATAATTTTTCAGTATTAGAATAATTTGAATATTGCACCGAATGATAACGTATGAAATGCCTTTTAACTGCAAATTTTTTAACTACCGCCGGTTCAAAACCGCAAAGTAAACAAATTGTTCGACCTGAAATATTACTGAAGAAGAAATTAACTTCCCAAGATTCATCAAAAATTTGAACATATCTCTTTTTGTCCATTCTGGAAATTAATAAAAGAACAAGAAACCTATTAATTCTCGTCGCTATGGAACGGCTGCTGCTTCGATCGACCGATGTATCCGCTGTCATTCAGAGAGGTTTTTATATGATATGTAACACTGATTCATTCTTAAAAGTATGAGAGACAAATAATAACCAATTCTGCAAGGTCGCTACTATCTTAAAAATGCTCCAATGTATCCATGTACGTTTGAAAACAAAAAGTTGAAAATGAAAAGAAAATCGTGTGTATACTAACGTGCGAGAATACGCAGCGTTTGTCGCCAGCATTGTTTACACACGATTTTCTTTTCATTTTCAACTTTTTGTTTTCAAACGTACATGGATACATTGGAGCATTTTTAAGATAGTAGCGACCTTGCAGAATTGGTTATTATTTGTCTCTCATACTTTTAAGAGTGAATCAGTGTTACATATCATATAAAAACCTCTCTGAATGACAGCGGATACATCGGTCGATCGAAGCAGCAGCCGTTCCATAGCGACGAGAATTAATAGGTTTCTTGTTCTTTTATTAATTTCCAGAATGGACAAAAAGAGATATGTTCAAATTTTTGATGAATCTTGGGAAGTTAATTTCTTCTTCAGTAATATTTCAGGTCGAACAATTTGTTTACTTTGCGGTTTTGAACCGGCGGTAGTTAAAAAATTTGCAGTTAAAAGGCATTTCATACGTTATCATTCGGTGCAATATTCAAATTATTCTAATACTGAAAAATTATCGACGGATTGAAATTAGTTCAACAGGAAGGTTTAATACCTTCTATTTGTTCTTCATCTTCGCAAAAATCCCTACAAGCCTCTTACGCTATTTCTTTGCTTATAGCACAACATTCAAAACCATTTATCGAAGGTTCTTTCGTAAAAAGCTGTATTATCGAAGCGGTAAAGGCTTTCGGCAATTCCATGACTCTTGACGAAGCAGCGAGCATTTCTTTTAGTGCAAAAACTATAACGTCACGAATTATCGATATCAGTGATTCTATAAAGGACATATTAAAGGATCTTCTGAAGTCATGTAGATATTTTTCTTTATGTATCGATGAGAGCACCGATATTCGACATATGAGCCAATTGAGTATTTTTACTCGAATCGTGCAAGACGATTTTTCATGTACCGAGGAGCTTCTAGATTTCGTCTCATTACATGACACAACAACGGGTCTTGATATCTTTTTAGCAGTTGAAAAATCGCTTAAAAATTTTGACGTCGATTTCAGTAAATGTTCTTCGACTACGACTGATGGCGCGAAAGCGATGACGGGTATAAAGATAGGATTCAATTCCGGGCAATTAAAGCAGCGAAATATCAATATCCCCGTTATACATTGCATCATTCATCAGGAGGCATTGTGTGGTAAAGTAGTATAAAATTATCCACAACTATGGAGACTGTGACAAAAATAATTAACGTTATTAAAGGTGAAAATAAGTTCCTTACTCATCGCAAATTTCAATTATTTCTTCATGAACATGGTGCTGTTCACAAAGATGTTCCACTTCATTGCCCGGTTCGTTGGCTTAGTGCTGCTAAATGTTTAGAAATATTCTTTTCCATAAGAAAAGAGATCCTCCTTTTCTTGCAAGAAATAAACAACCCGAAATTTCAGGAGTATATATCCCTTTTACAAGATGTCACATTTCTTGCCGAACTTGCCTTCATTACCGACATCACGAATCAACTTAGGCTTCTCAATTTAAAGCTGCAAAGAACGGGTCAAAATATTTGTCAATTAGTGAGTCACATTGATTCCTTCCGAACAAAATTACAGTTATTAAAATCTCATTTAAATAATGATATTTTTCAATTCTTTCCTTCTTGCCAAGTTCTTCTCGAAGAATACGGCAATAGCTGTAATTTTAAGGAGTATAATCATTTTATACAATCTGTCATAGACGAATTCGATACGCGTTTTACTTGCTTCGAAAACCTTCGAAAGGAAATTCTTTTCGCGAATCCCCTTACAGCGGCAATCGACGAACAGCCTCTCGAATTGCAGGAGGAATTATGCGATTTGCAAAACGATATTTCGTTCAAAACGGTTAAAGAAACCGCTGTCGATCTTTACAAAATATTGGAAAAGTCATTATACCCCAAGCTTCGGGATTTCGGACTTCGCATTCATTCTATGTTTGGATCCACGTATCTGTGTGAAACTTCATTTTCAAAAATGAAGTTTAAAAATTAAAAAATGAGAAACGTTCTTCTTTAAACGACGATTCCTTACCACGTCTTATGCGGCTCGCTACATGCAATATGCAAATTGACGTTTCCGCTCTTACTAATAAAAGACGCCGAAAATCGAATTAAATATTCTTCATTTAACATATTTTATTTCGCTTCTGTTCAATTAGTTACGGATTGTTATAGTCATCAGTGGATTAGGCCTACTGGGGATACCACTTAAAAAAAAACGCGTCAACAATAGTACCTCATGGGTGACGTGGAAAACTGTTGGAAACACGCTCCTGAGGCTCGAGCGGCTTGTAGGCAGCATGCGGAGTGGCAAGGTAAAGGGAACAGCGGTGGGCGGAGATAGTCGAAAATCGGCCGTCGCGTGCATTTTTTCCGAGCTCTGAGTTAGATGGTGCTGTAAACATCGAAATAGGTGGTAATCCGAAGGAGCCAAGTATGGAGAATACGCCGCATGAGGGAGAATTTCCCAGCCTAAATCTGAAATGGTTTCCAGAGTCTTTTTTGCTATGTAGGACCAGGCATTATCCTGCAGCAGTTTCACCATCCTTCTCCCACTGCCGGTGAACGGTCTTTTTTCTTCAAATACGTCATTTACGCGGATCATCTGTTGTTGGTAGAGCTCAGAAATGACGGTCTGACAAGATTGAAGCATTTCATAATGGATCACGCTCTTCTAATTCCACTGTTGTTTTTCGAATGACATCACGTCTACAACTGATTTTTCAGGTTGTGTTCACAATAGGATCAAGTCTTAAAGCTAAATCATCCTAAAGCTAAAAGATGGTACTTTAAAATAACTATATAGCGGGAAAAAAATTTCAATTTGAATAGGTTCTGTAATCGATGAAAGGTAGGGGCCGAGAATTAATTTATACACCTAATATATATCACGCTTATAAAGATTTCGGAATAGAAAAGCTACTTTTGATTCCCAGAAACATAAAATAAGTACGCGAAAACCATGTTATTGGTCTTATTCAAACGAGGACATTTGCAAGGTCAGTCTAAGGGGCTAGGTCAACGACTTTTACATATATTCAACATCATACGTATGCATAGTTTTTGAAAAAGTTTGATGGCCGAAATTGATTAATAACTTAGAAAAATATGACGAGTTCTGAATTAAAATGTAGTAAATCGAGAATCTTCAAACTACTCTATCTTCGATTCTAATTGACCGATTGAAAAACGGGTTTCAGGAGGTTATGAGATATGTCAAGAGAGAGAATAATTTCTGACAGTATCAAGCCAATCGAAGAGGACCCAAAAAACGGCCTTATTGACACCCATCCTTTTCGAGGAATTTTCTCAACTTCCGAATTTCAAGATTTTAATATTCATTTGCATCCACTGGTCATTTTTTTTGTCTCATTTATTTATTTATTTCAGTATTATTCAATCTGCCATTTAACAGATAATACGCGCGACAGAATATATTTATATATATTTCAGAGTTATATAAATATAAATATATATATATTTTTTATTTATATAATTCTGTTACATACATATATACAGGGTGTCTTAAAAGTAACGGACCACCCTAATAACTTTTCACTATTGAAGTTTCAAGGAAAATGTTCTGAATAAAAGTTATAGGGATTTAAGTGAACTACCTTATGATGACCTTGACTTTACTCTTGACCTCTATTTTCAAGATCATTTGAAGGTCAACTTGCATTTTTTAAATGGGAACCCTTATTTTTTATTACACTGTTTTTTTCTACTAGTTAATTTGAACAACTTTTATCTAAAATATTTTTTAATTTGTCTAATATTTTTTGAGATATTTGAGGAAAACTTGATAACTTTTTCAATATTTAACTTACGATATCTCGCTAACTATTTGTCGGAAGAAAAAGTGATACTAGACTTTCTTGCTTTATTTAGTCTCAAGTATATATTGTTACAGTAGCGCCCTGATTTTTGTTAATTTGATGATTCTGAAATTTCCAAGTTAGTTGTCGAGACATTTTCAAAACATTACTTACTTTTGTCTTTTGCGTAAGTCATTTCCAAGATATGAAGTTTCAAAGTTGACATACTGTCGGCATTCACATTACCAGATGTACATACACGACGGGGAGACGGGCTCGGTCGGATTTGTACATCATAGTTTACTTTCCTTCGAGGATCACCTCGATGGTACTTTCCCTCATCGATGGATAGGTCGGGATGGTCCAGTTTGATGACCACCAAGATCACCCGACCTTACTCCTCCGGGTTTGTGGGGATTTTTGAAAGACGCAATGTTCCGTCAACCGCCAACGACACGGCAGGATATGATGGATCGCATCAGAAATGAGTGCCGAGCGATTCCAACAAAACAGTTCTTCTGAAACTCGTTGAAAGTTTCAAAAAGCGAGTTCCAGTGTGCCGAGCTGTCGATGGCGGAGTTTTCGAACATCTATGATGAATGAGCCCCCCCCCCACACACACACACAAAATCGGCCCTTTTTAGGGGTACTATGGTGTACAAATCCGACTAAGCAACCTCCCCGCGGGTACATCGGGTAATGCGAATGCCGGCGGTATGTCAACTTTGAAGCTTCATTCATATCTTGGGAATGGCTTACGCTAAAGACAAAAGTAAGTAGTGTTTTGAAAACATCTCGACAAAGGTTACAAGAATATGCAATAAAAAATGGGGGGTTCTATTTAGGATTTTAAAGTTGACTTTTACGTGACCTTCAAACAACAATCCAAGGTCAAGCCAAGGTTACCGTCAGATGCCCTCCTTTAAACCCTACAACTTTTGTTTAAAACGTTTTACAATAAAATCATCGGTTTGCGAAATATAGTACTGTAAACTTTAAAATTGGACACCCTGTATATTTTATTTTTTTATATTTCTATCTTTGTATTTTACAATTATATCGAATATATTTTTTTCATTTATATCCCAGACAGCACCGGACATCCAATGGATGTACGTTTCACGTCCAATTTATGTCCGTATGTCCGATTTACGTCCGCGGACATAAATTGGACGTAACAAGGATGTCTTTATTGGACATCGGACCTGTAGGACGTCCGATGGACGTACATCGAACGTCCATGTCCGCAGTTGTGACAAATGTACGTCCTATAGACGTCTTTTGTAAAAAAAATGGACATATAACGGATGTGGACGTCCATGTGCTATCTGGGATTATATACTGGGTGTCCCATTTTAAAAAACCTTGTTAATTTGATGATTTTGAAAATTTTAAAAGTCAATAAGTTAACAAAAGTCAGGGTACTATTATAACAATATATTCTTAAGATTAAATAGAACAGGAAAATCTAGTACCATTTTTTCTTCCGACAATAGTTAGCGAGATACCGTGAGTTAAATATTGAAAAAGTTATTAAGTTTTCCTTAAATATCTCAAAAATTATTAGGAAAATAAAAAATGTTTCAGACAAAAGTTGTTTAAAGTAATTGGTAGAAAAAGACGGTATAATAAAAAATTGAGATTTCCATTTAAGAAAAGTAATGATCAGTGAATATCTCGAAAGTGGTGCCATTTGTAAACAAAATAGTTTAGTTGTTTTATGTCCTCCTTGAAATCATATAACTTTTGTCCAAAACATTTTTGCTGAAAATGCTTCGTTGAAAAATTATCGAGGTGCATTTTTTAAAATGGGACACCCTGTATATATTTTTTTATATTTAATAATTAAATTGTATGTTTCACTTCTGTTTTCACATTTCATCTTCAATATCAGTATATTTCTCTTTATTTAATTATTAATGCAACTAGTCTCTGTATGTTTCATCAAGGGTAAACATTATGATCAATGTCCTTTTATCAGATAGCAGGTATGGCACTAAATGGAATATTGAAGAAGGGCGAACGCGAGGAGGCGGAACGACGTCTCGCCGAGTTGGACGACAAGAAGTTCAAGACGATCTTCAGATTGCTCTACAAGGTAAACGAAAAGGTCGACTTATTCACCAAGTACAACGTCGACGAGCTGTTCGAATGTCGGATCCTCAGCGTGGACGAGAATCATCGCGGTAAAGGCCTGGCGAACATCCTGATGGCAGACAGCGTGGAAACCGCGAAGAACGCTGGTTTCAAGGTTTTTTTCACGAGATTCACTTGTCCATATACGACGCGGGGCTGTTTTTTATCCCGGGAATGTCGAGATGTTCCGAAAATGCAGAGAACGAAATTTCGCATTTATTGACTTTACGGACTATAAAAAAATAAGCAGAAGCAAAAACGTCGAGAGAATTTCCTTCTTTATTTTTATTTTGTTAATTTAAGATTGACGCGTCGGCGTAATCGCCGAGGTGTGATAACGCGTATATATATGTGTATATGTATGGCACACTCTCCTTTTGTTTCAGCATGCCCTTCGATTAATATGCATGGAGTGATTTTCGTTTACCGAAGTCACTGATCACAGTGCACTTCCGTTACTTTCCCTCAGACAGGTACTCATGTTGCACGGTCTTTTGTTCGCGTGGCAACGGAGCGGATCGAAACGAGTAAATTCTCAATACATTTATGTATATTATACTCTGAAATGTTATTTTGTTGAAGCCAGTACAATTTAACAATATACATCATGACATATCAACAGTTGCATATTGACGCACACACATTCTCGTTTACCTACAATTTATCATTTATTTATAAGTATCATAAGATACTTCTAAATATATATATATATATATATATATATATATATATATATACAGGGTGTCTTAGAACTTTGGGACACGGGCTCCGTAGGGACATAGAGCTAAATGAGAAGAACAAAAAAGTCCTGTACCATAACGTGAAAATCGTAGTAGTTTTTTAGTAATAACCGCGTAAAGTTTGGCATTTTCCACGCCCATCGCGGCCTATAGACGCTCCGCGGCAAGTTGTGTGCGTCGAGGCTGAGCGATAACGCGTCTCGCGCTGCCGTCGCGCGGCGTCAAAGCACCAAGATGCCATCGCGATGGGCATGGAAAACGCCAAACTTTACGCGGTTATTACTAAAAAGCTATTACGATTTTCACATTATGGTAGAGGATTTTTTGGTTCCTCTCACTTAGCTCTATATCCCTACGGAACCCGTGTCCCAAAGTTCTGAGACACCCTGTAGATATATATATATATATATATATATATACACACAGGGTAACCCATTTTAACTTTCGCATTAAAAAATCTCGAAATCTTCGAGGTTGATGAAAAAATGTTTCAGACAAAAGTTTTAAGGCTGGATGTGGAACATACATCAGTGACTTTGATTTTGACCTTGAGGTCAAATTTCAAGGTAATTTGAAGGTCAAAGTTATTTTTTAAATGGAAACCCATATTTTTGATTCCAAAAATGAAAAAAGCGAAGAGTTTTACGTTCAGATGTGGTACATACTTACAGTTCGTAATGACCTTCAGGGGTCATTTCAAGTTCAAACAACAATTTCAAGTGTCGCACGCGAAATTATCCCCAGGTTATCGCGATAATTTCAGACAAAAATTGTAGGGGTCCGAGCGGCTGACTACTGGTGACTTTGAGGTCATGTTAAGGTCAAGTTGATCTTTTTAATAGAGACACCCATTTCCGACTGCAGAAGTGTAATCTACGGAAAATTTTACGTTCAGATATGTTGAGTTGTTATGGAGTGAAGTTTATCCCTAAGAGTCATTTGAAACCGTCACTGTTATTTAGAGTAATATTGGAATAACTTCTCGTAAAATTCTACTTTCCATAAGAAGTAGACTCTTGTTCTGTATACAGAAAATACTGGGTATTTACATGAGACGCGTTGTCTTTTTATAAGGTCGATTTGACTCGCAGAGCAGTAGGTCTTATGAGAAACACATGTAATTATCTTATGTTAAAAATTATGCTTAAAAATCGGCTGAATAAAAGCGAGAAGTACGTTGAATGAATTCTGCCTATTTTGACACGAGACATACGAGACACGAGAAATGGGCGTCTCTATTAAAAGAATCAACTTAACCTTGACATGACCTCAAGGTTACCAGTGGTTTACCCGCTCAGATCCCTACAACTTTTATCTGAAACTATTGCGATAATCTGGGGATAATTTCGCGTGACACTTGAAATTGTTGTTTGAACTTGAAATGATCCCTGAAGGTCATTACGGATCGTAAGTATGTACCATATCTGACGTAAAATTTTCCGCTCTTTCCATTTCAGGAGTAAAAAATATGGGTTTCCATTTAAAAAATAACTTTGACCTTCAACTTATCTTGAAATTTAACCTCAAAGTCAAGATCAAGGTCACTGATGTATGTCCCCTATCCAGCCCTAAAACTTTTGTTTGAAACATTTTTTCGTCGACCTCGAAGACTTCGAGATTTTTTAATACGAAAGTTAAAATGGGACACACTGTATATAATTATTATTTACTTACATAAGTTATTTACTTAAGTAAAGTATAACACAATTACGAGTGTGACTCTCGGATTTTTTTATGAACAAATATAGAGTTGGACAAGTTATCTTTTCAAAATCTCTCGTTGTCATAATTGTTAATCATTTTGAAAAATAACACATTACCGATTACCATTACTCGATAATAAATATATATTATTTTCTTACCACAACTTGACGACACAAGGAGATAATTCGGTAATTGCTAATAATGTGAATGATATAATAATGATTTTATAATATAATGAAAAAATCAATGTCGTTACCAAGACGTTGCTAAAAAAGACTAAAATTGATGACATTACTTGTAACACGTTATTTCCCGAGATAATTCATTGTTTCCAGTAAACACAGAGTATCATCGATGTTACAATGTCAGCTAAATCATATGGTATGTTACATAACAGTTGCTTTGTTACATAACAAGTCATAACTTATTATATAACAAAGCAACTATTATGTAACATATGATTTAGCTGACAAATTATAACTTGTTATATAACAAAGCAACTGTTATGTAACATATCATATGATTCAGCTGACATTGTAACATCGATGATACTTTGTGTTTACTGGGTTGTAATTATCCATCATTTTGAAAAATACCTCGTTTTCTTTTTTTTCCATTCTCTTACCAGTATTTAATAAAATAAGTAATTATAAATTTCCGAGATTTATACCGTAATACCGTAACAAAAAAATTAATGTTATCAAATTGTTATCAAGAAGACAAGAAACGAAAACTGTTATTAAAAAGAAAAAAAAATTATATAATAACATTATTAATAACGCCTTTAGTTCCTAATCCTGAACAAAATCATTTTTTCTTCTTTACTCTTATTTCCAGAAGCAACATCGCGTCAAAAAGAAAATAGTGATTTTCTCTAGACAACGATCAATGTCACTACCGTGTTGATCTGCTCCTTTGACGCGATTTATACGCGGGTAAAATTTCCAAGGACGATCATGTTATAGTTTAGATCAAATTTTGTAAATAAATTTCTTCAAACAAAAAAGAAGAGTAAAATTAATATCAGTGGTGATATTGTCGATTTCAATGACCTTAACATATAATATAGGGTTTATTCTTTTCAGCTGAACTAGTGCTGCACTTGAACTGCACTGGTTCAGAACTAGAACTGACGAATACAGCAAAAGTTCATAGATGCAGAAATGCTAGATAGGATGGAAAAGAACGCCACAGTGTAGGAAATAACATGGCGCAACACATTATTCCAGCTAATGATTCTTCAGATGAAGATGATTATATTTTACCTTTATGTATTGTACCTCCATTACACGCAGAACCTATCTGGGATGAAGAACATGATAATAATATATTGTTATTCCATGTTTAATAATTGATTAATATTAATAAAAAAAAACTGCAGAAGTATCGAATCTAATAACTGTATTTTAGTTGGAAGAAAAATCAAATCATCAACAACTCATATTATTTATATTTAGATAAATACCTAGATACAGATTTAGATAAATAATGTTAATACCTTTTAATATACCTTGTAATATTTCCATTTTTATCAACCAAGATATTTCCATCTTTATTTCTTTTAATATGTGCATCATTTTCCTTCATATTTATTTATTACTGACAATATGAAAAATTTAAAAGATGAGATGTGTATTATTCTAAGATCTGCTCGCTGCACTGAACTGCTTGCACTAGCTTCAGACCTAGTGCAAGCAGTACAGTGAACTGTTGCACTAAGTTCTGCTGCACCGTTGGAAAGAACAGTAACATCTGACATCACTTCTGCTAGAAAGAACACTTCAGTGTACACTTCTTGAACTAGTGCAAAGAGTTCAGCTGGAAAAAACAAACCTATAATATCATGACTCTGACTAATTTGTAAATAGATTTAACCGTCGCTTTTTGTTTATTACAAAATTATGAATAATTAAAGATGGTGTGTATGTGATTGAGTGGTGTTTGGAACATAAGATTGCGTATATTTTCGCATGAATTATGAACATTTATATTAAGAAATGGGAAAAAATAACAGAAAATTGCAATGAACTAGGTAAGATTATATATTTCGTTGCTATTATTCAGATATCGGATAGATATTTGCCATAATATTGAAAGAAGCATCTGTTTATTTACTGTAATACCGGCGAGATAAAAGTCCTGCCAAATGTTCTACATAATGATATTTTCGGGCTCCATGTCACGAAATATTTGCACGTATTTCACATTAATAATATTCGATATTTTGTACGTACATATAAAACAATATTATACTGAATGTTTTATTTTAATCGCCCTAGGCTAATATCTCAGAAGTAAATCATCCTAGTGAAAAATATTTAATATAAAAGTTGTATAATTTGGAGGGAAACATCAAATGAAGACCTTAACTTTATTAGAGATGCCGTTCAAGGTTATTTCAAAGTAAATCTTATTTTTTAATGCAGTACCTATTTTTTGTTGCCTCTTTTATTCATACAATTTAATTGAATATTTTTTGTATCTTGACATTTTCTTATAAAACTAATAGTTTTTGATAACCGTTTTTGAAACTAATAGTTTTTATAAAACTAATAGTTTTTGAGATATTAAGGTTCAAAGAATAGTAATTATAGGTCAGATTAAATTCTTTATTTTTATTTTTTATCAATTTTATTTTTTCTATGAAAACTATTTTTTATTATATTTTCGGATTTATCTAGTTTTTTTAGAATGTTTGCATTTTATTTCTCCCGTACGCGCTCTATCCATTAAATGCAAAATTGCTTTATGATCGGAATGTCGTCTAACCGGATATTTGTCTTTCACTACGAGTACTTCTCTAGCATTATTATCAGCGGCAGTAAATACCAATTATGTCAACAATTTCTGAGAGCGAGTAATCTATTATGTTGATAATGATACAATTAATGAAAAGGAATAAACTGAATTTACCGAAGTAACCAAATGTAGCGATCAAGTCGTCACAGTGAAAGTCAACTCTACTGTAAAATTCTACAACACTCTTCTACTGTACAAAAGAAGTGATATATTAAAACAGTAGCGCCAATTGAGAAACCTGACATATATATATATACAGGGTGTTCGATTTAATCTATCCCGGCCGATATTTCGTGAACTAGCAAAGCTAGAAGAAAAATCAAAAAAGGTTCTGATTATCCGCGCGGTGGAACCATACCTTTCTATACCGGGCTTCGAGGGGGGAGGGGCGTTCAAATTTTTTAAATAGAAACCCTCTACGAAAATAACACCAGTTGATAGAGCACGAAAAGACGAATCCAACGACCTATATTTTTATATGCTTATTGTGAAAATGACGGCTGCTATGATTTTTTAAAATAACTTACGAAGGGTGCTGTTCGAACAATCTGTCCAGGCCGATATTTCGTGAACTAGCAAAGCTAGAAGAAAAATCAAAAAAGATTCTTCAATGGCCTTACTTCGAGATGATTTTCCGCGCGGTGAAACCGTACCTTTCCATATCGGACTTTGAGAGGGGAGGGTCGCTCAAATTTTTTAAATGAAAACCCTCTATGGAAATAACATTAATCAATAGGACTCGAGACGACGAATCCTAATACCTCTTCGTCACTCTCCCGAGCATCATTACACTTTAAACAATTTTAATAATCTTCTACCATTACTGCTGTTACGTCCTGGAGGAGGAGCGTAACTTGGCGCTTGCTTTCGCAAGCTCCGACGTACTTGCAAGTCAGCGGTACAGATCAAGGATCGGAGCGATCCCTTTATCTGACGCGGACGTACGCCGGTGGTCCTTGATTTAGGTCAAGGAACTGAATCCTTTTACCTGGGATAGGACCGTGAGCGACGGTTGAAGGAAGGGAGAATCTTTGTTGAGAATAATTAGTCGGTAATCGTGATTGACTTACAATTACAAACAACTTGTTTTATTAGTAATTAGACGGATGTTCACAATGAAATAAAATTTACAAGCTTTGATAAAGTGTACTTATACATAGATGTATAAACAATCGCGGTCTGAGCAAAATTCCGTGTTCGTTATGTCCGACTGTGATCGAAAGGTTTGGCCACTGGGGTCTGATTTAACAATTAAGGAGGAATGCCAAGGGGAATAGAAAACGGAAGTAAAACGAAAGGAAAAGAAAAGAGAGAGAAGAATAGATAAAAAAATGAAACGAAAGAGGTCACTCAGGTAAAATAAAATATAAATAACTTACTGCTGGACTTCTCTGATCTTAGTAGACAATGAAAGGTGTGGTTGCTGCGTCTCTGTGAGAATAGATGCCTCAAGTTCTGCGCCAAGGACAGGCAGCTGGTTTCGGCAGGATCGCTCTCAATGGCCCAAGAAGGCACAAGATCGTTGCACCGAATAATTAACAAGTGAAGAATATTGGTTGGTCTAAGCCACAAGTTGGCTTGATTGTTAAGAAAACCCTGAAGGGGTGCTGGAGAGAAGCGTCTGTCCTGGGTGCTGGATCGGCGAGAAGTGAGTGAGGCTTTTGACTTTTCTCAAAAAGTCAGCTCGGTTGAGAGAGTGGGGTTTTTTAGGGGAATGTTCCAGATGATTATTTTATAGGAGATAAGATGCATGTGGCAATAAGAGGATTTCGAAAGACTTTTGTAAATAAAAAATCGTGGCAGCTATCTTAAGAAGTAAATATCGATATTTATAAGAACGATGTCGTGATGCTGGTATCAGTGATTAAGTTCGTAGGAAATCAAATAGGGATTAGGTTAAGATTATTAGTATTTTCGGGGTATCAAAATTTCCAGAAATAGTTCGTGTGATAACTTGTGAGGTGGGTCGTGTGGTAACATGCCTGAGTGCATTTAGACGTGTAATCAGTAAAAATAAATTCGATTTCTCTTATTTATATAAGAGTTTTGAGGTTCGCTGAGTCAGCATGACGTAACACTGCGTTATGTGGTCGTTTTATTTTGTGAGCCATGGGTATCAACCCATGGCTCACAAAATTCTTTTCGAGTCCTATCAACTGGTGTTATTTTCGTAGAGGCTTTCTGTTTAAAATATTTGAGCGTCCCTCCCCCCCTCGAAGTCCGGTACGGAAAGGTACTGTTCCACGCGGAACCATATCTTTCCGTGCGGAGAATCATCTCGAAGTAAGGCCGTTGAAAAACCTTTTTTTGATTTTTCTTCTAGCTTTGCTAGTTCACGAAATATCAGCCTGGACAGATTGTTCGAATAACACCCTTCATAAGTTATTTTAAAAATCATAGCGGCCGTCATTTTCACAATAAGCATATAAAAATATAGGTCATTGGATTCGTCTTTTCGAGCCCTATCAACTGGTGTTATTCTCGTAGAGGGTTTCTGTTTAAAAAATTTGAGCCTCTCGAAGTCCGGTACGGAAAGGTACGGTTCCACTGCGCGAAAAATCATCTCGAAGTAAGGCCATTGAAAAACCTTTTTCGATTTTTCTTCTAGCGTTGCTAGTTCACGAAATATCGGCCTGGGAGATTAAATCGAACACTCTTTATATGATTATTGTATACTTAATATTTTTAGAAATCTCAAATTTAAATTATTACCTTTTTTTAAGATATATATTACGTACGTAAGTTTTTACAAGTAAAACTTATCAAATTATTTTTCTTTTAAGATATATATGTACATAACATAATAAATTTTTACAAGTAAAATTTATATCGTGTTATAAAAATTTAACACGTTTATTAATAGTGACCAATATTTAAAAGAAATATCTTTTTACAGGTTACTGTTATTCAAGAAAACCTAACTACAATAAATGTCCACAACATAAATTTTTACAAGTAAAATTTATCCTTATTTATTAGAACACTGAGTTATATGGTTATTTTACTTTTTATTATAACAAATTAATTATTATTACAATAAAAATGCAATAAAAAATATTTAATACAAAAATCTTGGCGCGGCTGCACCAAAAACTATATCGAAGATGTATATACATAAAAGTCAAATTAGATATCATTGACATTTATAATAATTATAATAAGAATAACATCTTTGAATAAAAAAATATCAAAATATGTAGAATATATATACATTCGATATGTATATTCTATAATGAAGGTTTATAATTTATTATAACCAAAAACGAA